TATGTATGTATGTATGTCTGTATGTATGTATGTATGTATCTCAAGTAATATATTTTGTAAGATAAATATGACAGAAATTTTCAAAGAAGAAAGTAAAGTTTATAAATTAGTATGTATGTGTGTTAAGTATATGGCAATTGTTATATAAATAATAGTAAAGATTACACAATTTAAATAAAAAAATTTATATATTTTCTTTATAATTCAAAATTTTATAAAGAACATTTAACATTTTTTGAGATGACATAATACATGCGTGCATTCACATACATACATACATACATATGCGCGCGCGCGTCCACACACGCACACGCACACGCACACGCACGCACGCACACCATCAATAATTATTTACATTCTAATTTTTGCGTTGATATATCAGAAAGTTGTTTTCATTTTTGTTACATATTATACTTCCAAACGTTTTTATGTCAATTGCTTACCTCATCCTCATCCACATTAGGAGTTTGGTTATTCATATCGTGTAAGGCTTGCCACATTTTATGAGCTGCATGTCTCTTCGCAACTTTTTTACTTTTTCCTTGACCAACTTCGCGATATTTCAAAATTGAACAAACAATAGTAAATTGTCTCTCATGAGGCAAGCCTTCTTCACCTTCCATTGTGTATTTTGGTGGTGGCCAATGACGAGACATACACATTTCTTGTAAAGCTCCAATTGGATTATTTACTACTTTCTCTTCTCCATATGCTTGCAGTTCTTGCAAATTTTGAGAGCTACATAAAAACATAAGATCACACTTGTATATTTTTTAATATTTAGAGTAGAACATTACATCTGATTATGAATATTAAATAATATCCTTACTCAGGTATACTATTTGGAAGAGGAGATTCTGAAGTTTCTGTATTTACGCCTATTAATTTATCCAAGACAGCTTTAGCAGCAGCATGTTTCGCTTCCTTTTTAGATCTACCAGTACCCATTGCTGAAACAATTGGATCTGCTTTTGAATAGTTGTGTACTTATTGATTTGATAACACATCAGTGTTAATAAAAAGAACTGATATAACAAATTATACAAACCAACAACATCAGCAACAGTGACTCTGTATCTAAAGGTAGGCTCATGAATAGCTCCCTCAATTTGGACCAATTCATATTTTGGTATTGTGCCCCTACGAGAAAGTAATTCTTGAAGAACAGAGACAGGTGTTTTGCTGGGTAATGCCTTCATTTCCAAACGCGCTGCTTCGTGTAATGGCAATTTCTCTAACATCATGGTATGCAATGTTACGCGAACTCTATTACGACGATTAACGTTATTTGAATGGTTAGGAAGGCCACCCACGCCAGGCATCATGTTAGGCCCAACTTGTTGTTGCATTTCTTCCATCTTAATATTCTGAAATATACAAGTATTGATGCCTTTAACCTTCTCGCAATGCCAAATAACTGTACATCAAACAAAAAAACACAAATATAAAATCACACAAAATGTAAATAAAGCATTTACCAATGTTGTCTACTTTACAAAGACTTGAAAAACAACAAAACAATTCAAATTTCATGAATTTTTTGTTGAACTATCTTTTTATCCTTTTATCAATACTTTATCAAGCAATATATAACAACAAACAGCTATTTTATACATACATGTGCGCACATGCGACACACGCACACGCACGCAGTTTGCCCTTAATTATACATATAAAAATTCTGACATTTTACTCCGAATTTTTTATCGTTACAAGAAGTGCCAATAGACCGGTTACAATTCGTGATCAGATGTCCCAATGTCCCGGAGGTCGAGATGAGCTGTCTATACGTAAAACGAAACATAATCGTAGTTTATTGACATTGCATTGAGCGGCAATAAATTAATGTAGAGGAACCGGCATGGCCGCCATTACTGTTATAAAATCTCTCGAAAGATTGGTTGTGATAGCGCGACAGAAATAAGCGAGATATGTATAAACTGGAGTTAAAACCAGAGTCCGGTCATTGTCGCGGGAAAAACATACGGACGCTGTAAACATGTTGTTTGTAGCTGCAACGACAACGGCTGATTCGGCTGTATTCGTCGTCGCTGCCGCGGTGACCGGTCTTGTATGTATCGTCCGCTACGTGTGGTCCGATCCGCAGTCACGAAGTCACCGAGGAAATATGAGTACGTGTTGTCTCACTTACGGATTTTTAAGAGGAACGTGCTGCGTATTTAGTTGGCTCCACGACAGGCCAATTCCTATGCGAAAAGCGAATCCCGCTTTTTGTGATCGATCCGTCTCACAAAAAGCTTGATCCGTTTGACGACAGAAAAATGGTTCACTGGCTAGCGGAGAATCCCTTCCTCGTTCGTAGCTCTACGATATCTGTGAAGTTATTCCGGACGATACGTCCTGTACGCACATCGCGGCGCATCGGTGTTTGCGCCGTCGATATTTCAATTTTTGCAAATGTTGCAGAAATTATGTTTACTGACATTCGATATATTAACTTCTGCTCGATAGGAAACATAGAAGAAACCTATATTACCTATATTACCTATATTACCTGAGAGCGGCCATCTTATTGTATACCCAGCAAACATCACGTGTCAGCACCATAGACGTATAATATATATAGACTGCGCGTTCCCTACCTTTGCCATGTTAAGAAAATGTCTTCAACGTGGAGAGAGAGACAGCTGGTGTTGAATAGTAGCCTCATCTTTGTCTAGCAAAGTAGTGGGGTAAATGATAGACAGAGAAGG